TTAAACTAATAACAAAACAGTAGCTGATTCAGAAGCGCCAGATTGTCATAGCAAAGTCAGAATTACCTCCTCTCCTAGGTTCATGAAACGGTCATCCATAAAATGCATTGCTGTTCTGTTGTAAGTAATCTTAAAGATTCCTAAATGCATCTACTTTCGGAAGGCCAAATAAAGTGCTTTTGCTTTCGCCTAGAAACACACAGCGTCTCCCTGACATGACTGCTTCAACACTAACTGCGGTTACTGAAACCACGCCTTCTTTCTTTGCGTGCACATTTGGGCCAAATTATGCAAATATTTCCACATAGTGAGGTAGATATGTGGGGGCGTGTTAGAACGAGCCGTTTTAGGGGGGGCGTTTGATAAAGAATATCTCTTTGGTTTTGAGACTTTAGTCTTTGCAACTTCGGGGATCTTATCTATGCACAATCAGCTTGTAACACTCCAAAGAGAAAGGAAAACTTGAAATGGCATCATATGACCCCTTTAAGTAGAAATTAAACGATGACGCTGTGATTTTACCTGGGAGATGTGTGTCTGTCAGTAGTTGCAACATGTAGAAATGGGTTGCAAAATCTATTAAAAAATACACTACTGTTCAGAAGTTTAGGGTGTTGTTTTTTTAAAGAGTGTATATTTTTATTCAGTAAAGATGCATGAAATTGATCAAAAGTGACTGTGAAGTTATAATGTTTAAAAAAAATTGTATTTTAAATAAATGCTTCCCTTTGAATTTTCTATCTATCAAACAATCCTATTTATTAAAGTAAAATGTTTTATTGTTTCCACAAGAAAAAAGAAAAAAAATCAGCACACCCGTTTTAACATTGATAATACTATGAAATGTTTCTTAAGCACCAAATCAGCATATAAGAATGATTTCTGAATGATCGTGTGACACTGAAGACTGGAGTAATGGCTACTGAAAATTCAGGTTTTCCATCAGGGGAATAGATTGCTTTTTAAAATATATTAAAATAAAAAAGTTCTTTTAAATTGCAATTATTTTACAATATCACGGTCTTGCTGTATTTTATATAAATGCAGCCTTGGTGAGCATAAGAGACTTCTTTCAAAAACATTTAAAAAATCTTACCGAACCCAAACTTTTGAATGGTGTTATGTTGTTACTATTTATTGCTAGTTTTTCTCAAAAAAAAATAACCCTCAACTATTTACTCTATTTTACTGTACTATTTACTCAACCATAGTGTAACGGGGCGACTGAGACGAGAGACGTGCGGATCCATCTGCAAAGTTTTATTCTTAAACATATTCAAAACAGGCAAGGGTCGGACAATGGCAAACAGGTATTTAGAGGGCAAGACAGAAGAGTGATCCAATAAACAGGTGTAGGTCGATCAATGGCGAACATAATCCAAAGGATGAGGCAGGCAAGTAATCCACAGACGGATATATTAATCCAGGCGAGGTGCGAACAGAATCCAAACAACAAGACGAGAAATCCAAGACAGGCAGGTTATCAGCCAGGAACAGACAATCAGGCAAAACTAGACGTTACAAAACAGGACTAGGAACTAAACTAAACTCAGACAGGATACTGGCTCTGTAAAGTGCTACCACTAGGAGAGTGATAAACGCAGACAATATTTGGCTATTAGAGAAAGATTTGAGTGGTTGTTATATAGTGTGTGTGATTGGCTATAGGCGAGTCCAATCAGTACAATGGAGCATGGGAAATGTAGTCCAGGGTGACGTGCAACAGTTTGTGTGGTGTGAGAGTCAATGTAATCAGAAGGTGACCTCTGGTGATGAGCAGACTGAAGACCACGGACCAGATTCGTGACACATAGGTTGTTCCTATGTGAATAATTTTTCCCCCTATGGAATGCCCAAATAGAAAAATGGACCATCATTTTGGGGTTAAATGTTTCCTTTAGCCTATTTAGGTGCTTTCTTAAATATTTGTTTTGTCAATTGCATATATTAACTCATGTTTCTTCTATTTTTTTAAAACAGCAAATGGTGATGAGCCTCCGTGTCTCAGAGCTTCAGGTTCTTCTGGGGTATGCAGGCCGCAACAAACATGGAAGGAAGCATGAACTCTTGACCAAAGCGCTACATTTGTTGAAAGCCAGCTGCAGCCCTGCTGTGCAGATGAAGATCAAGGAGCTCTATCGCCGCCGCTTCCCCACAAAGATGGTGTCCCCATCAGACCTCTCCCTCCCTGGCCTACACTCCACCACTGGAGGTGCTCCCGCTGGCATGCCCACCAGCCTGACACAGCTGGGATTCGATGGGCATGGCTCACCATCTCTACTCCCTGTCGCACTACTCGGGCCAAAGCACGAGCTGGGCCTGCCCCATCTGCCCTCCGCCCTTCACCCAGTCCATCCAGACGTCAAGCTCCAAAGGCTGCCATTCTATGATGTACTCGATGAGCTTATCAAACCCACCAGTTTAGGTGAGTAACAGGAATTATCTCTAACAGTTGACTAGTTGATTATTAAAGGGGTCATATGATGTGATTTCAAGTTTTCCTTTCTCTTTGGAGTGTTACAAGCTGATTGTGCATAGATAAGATCCCTGAAGTTGCAAAGACTAAAGTCTCAAAACCAAAGAGATATTCTTTATCAAAGTTAAGACTCTGCCACGCCCCCTAAAACGGCTCGTTCTAACACGCCCCACATGTCTACCTCACTATGTGGAAATATTTGCATAAGCCGCCCAAATGTTCACGCAAAGAAAGAAGGCGTGGTTTTAGTAACCGCAGTTAGTGTTGAAGCAGCCATGTCAGGGAGACGCTGTGTGTTTCTAGGCGAAAGCAAAAGCACTTTATTTGGCCTTCCGAAAGTAGATGCAGTGTTTCCCCTGCCATTATTTTAGGGGGGGCGGCCCGCCACAACAGAAGTCATTTAAAGTTACATTTCAGCACTTTATTTGGCCTTCCGAAAGTAGATGCAGTGTTTCCCCTGCCATTATTTTAGGGGGGGCGGCCCGCCACAACAGAAGTCATCGTGACGCTTCCGGTGATATTAACCTCTGCCGTCTCACTAATGAGGACATAAATACATGAATAACATCTCCAGAACTGTCTCGCGATTATGGTAAGGGGTGTTACATTTCCGACGAGTGCTTGTGGTGTTCGGCCAATCACAATGCACTTGGTCAGCTGGCCAATCAGAGCAGACTGCGCTTGTCGGAAGGAGGGACTTTGTAGAAAACGAAGCGTTTGAGAGAGGCGGGGCATAGAGGACCTACAATAATGTAAAGTATTTGAAAAATAATGTGTTTTTTGAACATTAAAGCATGTCAACATATTCTGTTACACCAAATACACAAAATAATGATCTTTAAAAAAGCATCATATGACCCCTTTAAGGTTGAATAGTGCTTTTACAGTAATGGTTTTAGAAATGCAGCTTGTCAGAGAGTTTATAGCATGGTAAAGCCATTTCCAAGCAGTTTGTCTCTAAAGTCATCTCCTTTAAAGCATCATTCTTCGTCCTGGATGAACATAAGCAGTTTTGTGCCACTCTGTATTGCAGTCTTTCTCATGAGTTGCAATAAAAGTTACCAGGAGTTTTCAAACTTTCTGATGCCAAAGAGTAGGGCTGTAAAATTGATGAATCGCAAATTTGTTTCCAAAATAGCAGTTTGTATTCACATAATATATGTGTGTATATTTAATATAGATTTTAATCGATTTTACAGCCCTAACAAAGAGGACCCCCAAAGATGGTGAAACCCTAAAATGTAAAGTTATCTCCATATTTTTGTGTGTAATAGTGTGAGAGAAATAATTATGGTTACACTTTATTTTAAGGAGAAGTTATTACAGTGTAATTACACAAATAGATATTGAGTAATACTAATTAACTACATGTATATAGTATATGGTTAAAGGGGTCATATGATGTTGCTAAAAAGAACATTATTTGGTGTAATGAAATGTGTTTGCGGTTTAAGGTTCAAAAAACTCATTTTCCACATCCTGTGCATTATTGTTTCTCCTCTATGCCCTGCCTTACTGAAACGCGTCAATTTTTACAAAGCTCATCGGTCTGAAAAGCGAGGTGTGCTCTGATTGGTCAGTTATCCAGTGCGTTGTGATTGGCCGAATACCTCAAGCGTGTGACAGAAATGTTACACCCCTTACCATACTGTGATGCCACGTCCAGAAGCGACAAGACAAAAACAATAAAACCCATTATAAACGATGCATTTTTTGCATCCAGTGGGGACATTATTACGGATTATAATGATTTATACTGTCTTTTTTGTTGTTACATCGCGCCGCGTAAGCATAAAACCATGCCTGCATTTGTGATCAGAGAAATGACAAACAACAAGCGCTACTCTACACTGCTCAAAACATGCGTTTGAATCATCAGTGGCAAATTCTTTAAATGTGAAAAAGTTCTAGTTGTGTTCTCTTTTGGAAGGCCAAACAAAGTATTTTCGCTTTCGCAACGAAACACACAGCGTCTTCACAACATGGCGGTGGCAGCAACAATAAAGTTACGCCTTCTTTCTTTGCGTGAACATTTGGGCGGCGTTATGCAAAGCTTCCCACATCGTGACGTAGACATGTGGGGGCGTGTTTAAACGAGGCGTTTTAGGAGGGCGTGGACGAGTCTTAACTTTTATAAAGAATATCTATTTGGGTTTGAGACTTTAGTTTTTGCAACTTTAGGGATCTTATCTATTCACGAACAGCTTGTAACACTCCAAAGAGAAAGGCAAACTTGAAATCACATCATATGACCCCTTTAAGGTTAGGCTTAGGGTTTTTGGTCTTCTTAGTTACTTGTAATTATGCATAATTTACTGTTATTTCTATAGTAATTACTTGTAATGTGTAGCTACGTCACCTTAAATAATGTGTTATTTAAGTTATTAAATCAACAACCACATTGATTTGTTTAAATAATTCACTTTTATATTTGTCATATATTTGTATTCATGGCAAAATATTAAAATATTTTCTGGAAAATATTTATTTTTATATGGTATTTATGAGGGATGTAATGATTCACTCAACTCACGATTTGATTCAATTCACGATTTTGATTTCACGATTCGATTTTCTCACAATTTTTTTTTTACAAAATGACATTGAAGACAGTAAATGAAAAGGTGTCATTTTATTACAGGGTGTCTGTGGGGTCTTAAAAAGTATTAAAATTTGATAAATCAATTTGGAGAAAATTAAGGCCCTTAAAAAGTATTAAAAAGTCTTAAATGCCATTTTTCAAGGTATTAAATTGTGTATCATCTTTTCATTATGTATTTGTCCGAATAGTGGGGTTCTGTGTAGTACTGTTATTTCTATAGTAATTACTTGTAATGTGTAGCTACGTCACCTTAAATAATGTGTTATTTAAGTTATTAAATCAACAACCACATTGATTTGTTTAAATAATTCACTTTTATATTTGTCATATATTTGTATTCATGGCAAAATATTAAAATATTTTCTGGAAAATATTTATTTTTATATGGTATTTATGAGGGATGTAATGATTCACTCAACTCACGATTTGATTCGATTCACGATTTTGATTTCACGATTCGATTTTCTCACAATTTTTTTTTTTTACAAAATGACATTGAAGACAGTGAATGAAAAGGTGTCATTTTATTACAGGGTGTCTGTGGGGTCTTAAAAAGTATTAAAATTTGATAAATCAATTTGGAGAAAATTAAGGCCCTTAAAAAGTATTAAAGTCTTAAATGCCATTTTTCAAGGTATTAAATTGTGTATCATCTTTTCATTGTGTATTTGTCCGAATAGTGGGGTTCTGTGTAGTTTATTTATAGACATCATCTGTTACGGCGCTCACTGACTGACTGCACCGCTGCATGATACCGCAGGGCTTGTTACTTGATCCCGCTCTCGCTGAATTTCTGACCATTACCATCTGCCCCCGCGATTTTTGTGGCTGCTCCCGCAAACATTCTAATATTGTATATAATTTTCCGTGCATCAGGGAGCCGCTATCAATATGTGGGGTATTTAAATCGCTTTTGAATGAGCGCTTGCAGTCGCAGTTCACTTTCAATTTCGCGATCGCATGTGCGCTCTGTAAAGGGAGCACATCTTACGATATAAGATATTTGTCAATGAGCTCAGGATCTGAGGAGCAAATCCTCCAACATCTTGTCAGTCATCTCTCCTTACTCTTGACCCGTGATCAGTCAAATCTGACTCCTGCAGCTTTTGTTGGTTGCAAGGTTGTTTTTTTCCACGGAATTGGGCTGCTTTTAAACTCTTGCCATGGGTTGATTTTTCCCCATGGGTTAAAGGTTTGAAATATCGCATGGATTACATTTGACCGAAATGCTTTTACTCAAACATTTTGCATTCTACCTGTAATAAAACTGTACTAAATGTTTTGTGAAGGAGGGCCATTAGGAAGCCTTTGAGCTGTGTTTATGGTCAATGTGCATAATAGTTAGGGGTGCTACGGTTCTCGGTAAAAAATCGAACCATACCGTTCTCCACACACGGTTCGGCATACACTAGGACCGCGGTTCAACTTAAATCTGACAATGCATCTGTAATATGGTTTGTTAGAGTTCGGCTAATGCATGTTTCTGTTGATAGATACAAATTCTGGCTTCCCAATACATTACAACAAAAGCGATGAGAGAGAGAGAAAAAAACAATACGTGGACAAACCAGTCACTCTTTAATCAATGCGAGTGCTTTATGCTGGAATACATTTCCCAGGCTCCATTGTACTGTTTGGACTCGCCTGCAGCCAATCACACACACACACTATATAACAACCACTCAAATCTTTCTCTGGATAGCACAGGTGAGACCTGAACAGCACACGTTGCTGTCTGTGTTTAAACTAAACCCATTTAAGCCTTGCCAGTTTAAATATTAAAGATCCAGATGACGTGAACTTACGCGCGCAGTGAGAAGATCTGTGTGGTCGCTCATCCGAAGCGCGTGAACCCGCGTAGTTTTTTCCCTAAACATAGCACATACCGAACCGTGCCGAAACCGTGATACAAACCGAACCGTGAGTAAGTTGAACCGTTGCACCCCTAATAACAGTGACTGTAAAATATGTGTTTTAGGGATGGAAATTACTAATTTTGACATTTGGGACATGGTCGTTATGCTTTTTTGTACATCCTTTGAGAAATGTAGGCCTCTCATGAAGACTTTACCTCCCCTACCTATACAAACATAAAGGTGCTCTTCAAGTGATTTATGGCTTATCAGATTGGACAAGGGCCATCTGTGCTATATTTAGTCATCCAGCTCACGCTAAGAATTAAAGTCCAATATCAATGGAAAGGATGTGTCATTAAGCACAGGGGGCTGTGTTAATGCATTTTGGCTTTGATGGTTTTCTCTTCAGCAGGTTTAAGTGTTATGTTCTTTTTCTGGTTTTGGTCTGTGAGATGTTCAGATAACTAGCCTTAGTGTTCTCACTTCAGGACATTTACAAACTCGATTCCAAAAAAGTTGGGACACTGTACAAATTGTGAATAAAAACAGAATGCAATGATGTGGAAGTTTCAAATTTCAATATTTTATTCCGAATACAACATAGATGACGTATCAAAATGTTTAAAATGAGAAAATGTATAATTTTAAGGGAAAAATAAGTTGATTTTAAATTTCATGGCATCAACACATCTCAAAAAAGTTGGGACAAGGCCATGTTTACCACTGTGTGGCATCCCCTCTTCTTTTTATAACAGTCTGCAAACGTCTGGGGACTGAGGAGACAAGTTGCTCAAGTTTAAGAATAGGAATGTTGTCCCATTCTTGTCTAATACAGGCTTCTAGTTGCTCAACTGTCTTAGGTCTTCTTTGTCGCATCTTCCTCTTTATGATGCGCCAAATGTTTTCTATGGGTGAAAGATCTGGACTGCAGGCTGGCCATTTCAGTACCCAGATCCTTCTTCTACGCAGCCATGATGTTGTAATTGGTGCAGTATGTGGTCTGGCATTGTCATGCTGGAAAATGCAAGGTCTTCCCTGAAAGAGACGACGTCTGGATGGGAGCATATGTTGTTCTAGAACTTGGATATACCTTTCAGCATTGATGGTGCCTTTCCAGATGTGTAAGCTGCCCATGCCACATGCACTCATGCAACCCCATACCATCAGAGATGCAGGCTTCTGAACTGAGCGCTGATAACAACTTAGGTTGCTTGTCCTCTTTAGTCCGGATGACATGGCGTCCCAGTTTTCCAAAAAGAACTTCAAATTTTGATTCGTCTGACCACAGAACAGTTTTCCACTTTGCCACAGTCCATTTTAAATGAGCCTTGGCCCAGAGAAAATGCCTGCGCTTCTGGATCATGTTTAGATATGGCTTGTTTTTTGACCTATAGAGTTTTAGCTGGCAACGGCGAATGGCACGGTGGATTGTGTTTACCGACAATGTTTTCTTGAAGTATTCCTGAGCCCATGTTGTGATTTCCATTACAGTAGCATTCCTGTATGTGATGCAGTGCCGTCTAAGGGCCCGAAGATCACGGGCATCCAGTATGGTTTTCCGGCCTTGACCCTTACGCACAGAGATTGTTCCAGATTCTCTGAATCTTTGGATGATATTATGCACTGTAGATGATGATAACTTCAAACTCTTTGCAATTTTTCTCTGAGAAACTCCTTTCTGATATTGCTCCACTATTTTTTGCTGCAGCATTGGGGGAATTGGTGATCCTCTGCCCATCTTGACTTCTGAGAGACACTGCTACTCTGAGAGGCTCTTTTTATACCCAATCATGTTGCCAGTTGACCTAATAAGTTGCAAATTGGTCTTCCAGCTGTTCCTTATATGTACATTTAACTTTTCCGGCCTCTTATTGCTACCTGTCCCAACTTTTTTGGAATGTGTAGCTCTCATGAAATCCAAAATGAGCCAATATTTGGCATGACATTTCAAAATGTCTCACTTTCAACATTTGATATGTTATCTATATTCTATTGTGAATAAAATATAAGTTTATGAGATTTGTAAATTATTCCATTCCTTTTTACTCACAATTTGTACAGTGTCCCAACTTTTTTGGAATTGGGTTTGTATGATTATGTGGATTTTTCAAGTGCAACCCTGTCATTTTATTCTTTAAAAGAAAATGAATGCCAAAGTAAGGACTCAGAATAAATATAAATCAAAAATGAGTTGAAATGGGTGCAGTTTGAATCAAATCTAGGTTCTTAACTAATGCTTAGCTCATTTTGGAGTGTGGAAGCAGGTTACCTTATTTCAAGTTTCATTTTCTTACAAGCACTCTTATAGAGTTCAATTTGAGCGCAGATTGCTATATAAGAAGTGCTTTTTGCTATGCAAGGCAAAGAACCCTGTAACATCAAATTGCTTTTCAAGCAACTTTCAGGAAACACAATGGTCCTTCTCCCATATTGAGTTGAAGCCTTTTGGATTGAACATTCTTTCTAGGTCAATGTGATGAAAATGATTGGAGAATTTTGAGTTGTTTGAGCTGAGAGGGCAACCAGTGTTGATGGATCTTTTGCACACCAGAGAATTGGCTCACCTCCTCTCTTTCCTCTTGAGTACAGATTAATCATCTGCCAGCTTCTCACTGTTAAACTCACTCCACTTCAAGTGGAATAGATTTTCCTCTTCACATGACTAAGTGGTCAGTGTGCAGAAAACGCACCTCTCATTTCAGTCTCTTTCATTGAGTTCAGCCACCTATGTGTGCGATGTAGAGCACCTGTAGTGGTGCAGATAGAGCTTCCTCTTATCTCTCACTCTCTCTTGCTCCTGAAACCCTGGCTTCATTTAAGGAGATTGGGTTATGTAACCCTAGGTTATTTTTAGCTATGTTGTAGTGTTTGGCTTTGAACTAAACTGCACAAGCATTTAAAGTAGTTCCACAGAAGAGGACCAGCAACCTTGTGTCTGTAACTGAGATGCTGCTTCGCTATCAGTTTAAGATAATTAACTTTACTTACTGTTGGATGCTTGCTTGGTCAAGGATGCCATCACGAAATATTGAAATATGTTATAGAACCAAAAGTATGTGGACCAGCAGAAACCATTTACATTACAAGGAAGCTGGTCCTCCCAAACATTTTTCCTCTTCAGTACACCAGACTTAATAAAGCATTTCTTTAGGACTGTATGGAATAGAAAAGCTCTCTACAAACTTTTTCTACAAAGTTGGAAGCATACAGTTTGAAAAGTACTATTTGTATGCAGTATGAAAGTATTATTTTCAAAAATTAGTGCTAAATTAATAAAATTGAATAGTTGGTAAGCACCCCGATCTGTGTCTGTGTGTGTGTGTGTGTGTGTGTGTGTGTGTGTGTGTGTGTGTGTGTGTGTGTGTGTGTGTGTGTGTGTGTGTGTGTGTATATGTTTGTTTTTTTTGTTAGCAGAGAGTCACATTTGAATTCCTTATTATTTTTATCAATTTAATTTGATTGTAGTAATTGTAGAAATTTCGTTTTATTCATGGTTGTATTTAAAATCTTTTGATTTTATTTTGTAGCTATTTTATTTTATTTATTTATTTTATGTCTTAACGACTGATGTACTTTCGGAATGAAAACGACTCACGAGCTTGGCTGACCTTCCTTCAGTGTGTGTGTGTGTGTGTGTGTGTGTGTGTGGGTGTGTGTGTGTGTGTGTGTGTGTGTGTGTGTGTGTGTGTGTGTGTTTGTGTGTGTATGTATATGTTTGTTTTTTTTGTTAGCAGAGAGTCACATTTGAATTTCTTATTATTTTTATCAATTTAATTTGATTGTAGTAATTGTATAAATTTTGTTTTATTCATGGTTGTATTTAAAATCTTTTGATTTTATTTTGTAGCTATTTTATTTTATTTATTTATTTTATGTCTTAACGACTGATGTACTTTCGGAATGAAAACGACTCACGAGCTTGGCTGACCTTCCTTCACAGAGTTCTTCAAGTCTCATCTCTGTCACTTCATCAATAGAGTGATGTTATGAGTTCTCCATCTTTTAGAATTGTCTCCTCTCTTTTTGTTTTACAGCCTCAGACAGCAGTCAGAGGTTTCAGGAAACATGTTTCGCGTTTGCACTAACGCCTCAGCAAGTTCAGCAGATCAGCAATTCAATGTAAGTGTGGGGGATATTAAATTACAAAGTTAGACAAGGTAACATGGTCCGTGTGCTTGAAATAACCTAACTAAGTTTGAGCTTGTAATACATTTCAGCCAGAACTGCAAAACTGCTGAATTTAAAACAGCTGTTAAGTAGTTTATCTTGTCTTGTAAGATTTCTTCCTCTTGTTCTTATATAGCAGACAATAGTGCTTATCACACGTGCCCAAGCGAGCGGTCCTGTAGAATGTTTGGTATGCTTTTCTCTCCTACGCTCTGTCACACATTCCTTTACTCCCACCCTCTTGTCTCAAAAGGGACATCTCTGGGACCAAATGTGACTTCACCGTGCAAGTACAGCTAAGGTATGATAAGACAACAGTTTTCAACAAAAGATCTCCAAAGCTCAGCTGGAACATTTTGAGACAAAAAAACATAATTTAAGTTAAATAATTAAAGAGTATCAGTTTACTTGCTACCATTGTTAAAGGGATAGTTCAGCCAAAAAGAATGACAGACAAATGAAACAATGGTTAACACATGTATACTCAAATGTGTGGTGTAAGGAAAATATTTCATTATTTTTTTATACTCAGTTGAACCATTTTAGAGTCATTAAATTACATTAAAAAAAATTAAAAATGGTACAAAACCGACACGGATGAATACAAAGAATTTGGCACTTTCTTGTTTGATTTCCAAAAGATTTCTTGTTTTCAGCATCTTACAGCCTTTTCATCAACATTTTTTACTCCTATGACAAATTTTTATTTCAGATAGAAACGTTTATCTGTAGTTCATCGTTTCATTGCTGGACTGGCTGTTTATCTCAATGCCTTTTTGTGGTTGTCCTCAGGGATATCTTCCTCCAACCAAAAATGGAGTGGAGCCAAAGCGGCCGAGCAGACCCATGAACATTACCTCCCTGGTTAGGTTGTCTACAACAGTTCCCAACACCATTGTTGTGTCATGGACGTCGGAAATCGGAAGGGTAATGAATGTTAATCTGTTTGAAATCTGTTTCTGAAAACCACCATCAGAATGTGTTTTAAATACTTTGTTGTCCATACAGAGTTACTCCATGGCAGTGTACCTGGTCCGTCAGCAGTCCTCCTCAGTTTTGCTACAGAGACTACGGTCAAAAGGCATTAGAAACCCAGACCACTCAAGAGCACTCAGTATGTTAACTCTGGACTTACAACAGTTGAAATGAACCTTAATATAGCTGAATGTTAACCAGACAACAAGTGCGAATTTCTTCCACTTCAAGTATTTTGCAACATTTTCTTTGGATATTCAGGCATTCACCTACCAATGCTCCAATTCAACACCTGCAACTATTGTTTTAAAGGGGTCATATGATGCGACTTCTCTTTGGAGTGTTACAAGCTCTTGGTGCATAAAGAAGATCTGTAAAGTTGCAAAGACTAAAGTCTCAAATCCAAAGAGATATTCTTAATAAAAGTTCAGAGTCAGCCACACCTACCTAAAACGGCTCGTTCTAACACGCCCCCACATACCTACGTCTTTATCTGGGAAGATTTGCATAACGCCGCCCAAATGTTCACGCAAAGAAAGAAGGCGTAACTTTTATTCTCGCTGTAGTATTGTTGCCGCCGCCGCCATGTCGTGAAGGTGCTGTGTGCGTCATTGTGAAAGCGAAACTACTTTGTTTGGCCTTCCAAAAGAGGACGATATCGCTTCGTCATGCCTGGAGCTGATCCGTGCTGGTCGTTGAGGAAATACTTCGACTTCGTGCTGTGGATCGCCGGATCGGCTTTCACCATGGACGAAGCGGAGTCCAGCCCGGGGTAGTCAAAAGTGGTTGCCGCGGGCATCACAATATGGTAAGGAACGTAACATTTCCGTCACACGCTTGAGGAATTCGGCCAATCACAACGCACTGAATAGCTGGCCAATCAGAGCACACCTTGCTTTTTCAGACCGATGAGCTTTGTAAAAATTGACGCGTTTCAGAAAGGCGGGGCATAGAGGAGAAACAATAATGTACAGTATGTGGAAAATGTGTTTTTTGAACCTTAAACCACATAAACACATTTCATTACACCAAATACACCAAATAATGTTATTTTTAGCAGCATCATATGACCCCTTTAATTAAGTGATTATCAAAATAACGCTTTTTTCCAATAACCTGCAAAGTTACAAGTCTTACTTGAGCTACCTGTTAGCTGTGTGTGAATATGATGGGAGATATTCAATGTTGTAAATCAAGTGATCTGATTGATTTTGTGTTCTGTGCTCACTCTTCAGTCAAAGAAAAGCTTACTGCCGACCCTGACAGTGAGATTGCCACTACCAGCCTGCGAGTCTCCTTGCTCTGTCCGGTATGTAATGGACCATCAACCCTGAAGAAAGATTTTATTCTCTTCAAGGGGTTCTGTTAAACCTTGTAACGTTCCTTTGAACACAATTGCATTAATCATTTTGTCAGAATAATGAAACTGCTTCTTTTCACTGAGACCACCGAGCTCTGCTTATGACTCTCTGATTTCCCATATTGTGTTCTTTGTCAGTTTAATATTTTTGAACAATGGAGAATAAGCCACAAGCTAGCAGTTTAGAGATAAGAAACTTCTCTATAATCATCATTCAGTTATAAAGTTTGAAAGCAATATGTGGCATTATAATGTATGCTGACATAATGTGTGTCTATCTGTGTGTAAATGAACAGTTGGGAAAGATGCGGTTGATGATTCCCTGCCGAGCGCTCACCTGCTCACACCTGCAGTGCTTTGATGCTACGCTCTACATCCAAATGAATGAGAAGAAACCCACCTGGGTGTGTCCGGTCTGCGACAAGAAAGCCCCATTTGAGCACCTTATTATTGACGGGTCAGTGCTACTCTCACCTTTTACACCTGTGATTGTGGGCCAGTCCAAAATATCAGCTAACCACGAACACGCTGAATTCGGCGTGTTTGGATGCCGATGTAGATTCACAAAGCCATGAACATCAATAGCAATGCAACATCCACCACTGTTGATTGTGTGTTTAGGCTTGTTCGGGCTGCATCAGCGCTGTGCGGTCCGGTCGGTGTGCCGCGGGAGTGATTGGAAAGCAGATGACTCTCTTTATGCTTTTGGATTGCTTTCGCGGTGCTTTGGTGTCGTGCGCCGATCAGTCTGCATTGCGCCAATGCATCTCGAACAAGCCTGTTGTGTTTGGCACTGCCATGCTAGTGTTACTGAGAAAGATGAGACTTATTCAGTGACGTAAAACCTGGCTCTGTGGTGGCTCTCTAGCCCGTGAAATGGCAAACCGGTTCTTAGGAGGCTCGCCAGTTGAACCAACTCCAAACCGGCAATAGCACTGGCTTTGAACTAGCACCCAGTTCATGCTGGTGGAAAAGGGATATTATTGATGCCAAACTTTTGAACAGCAATGTACATCATTGTCTAATGTGTAATATGAGCATTTATGCACTACCGTTCAAATAATTTGGGGTCGATAGGATTTTTTAAATGTTTTTGAAAGAATTCATATGCTCACCAAGGCTGCATTTAATTGACTAAAAATATAGTGAAATGTGAAATATTATTACAATTTAAAATAACTTTTTTTTCTTTGAATATATTTTAAAATGTAATTTATTCCTCTGATGGCAAAGCTGAATTTTCAGCAGCCATTACTCCAGTCTTCAGTGTCACATGGTCCTTCAGAAATCATTCTGATTTGGTGCTTGAGAAACATTTCTTATCATTGTTAAAAATTGTTGTGCTGCTTAATATTTTTCTAAAAACCATGATAAATTTTTTTTCAGGATTCTTCAGTAGAAAGTTCAAAAGAAAAACATTTATCTTATATAAGATTATACAATCTTTTGTAACATTATAAATGTCTTTACTTTCACTTTTGATCAGTTGAATGCATCTTAGATGAATAAAAGTATTATTTTCTATTAAAAAACTTTGAACAGTAGCTTATGCTGTCAAAACTGGGAAAAGTCTTGAGAAAGTGTTTTTTAAGGGCACGTTTGTCTGTGTACAGGTTGTTCATGGAGATCCTGAGCAGCTGTGTGGACTGTGATGAGATCCAGTTTAAAGAAGATGGCAGTTGGGCTCCTATGAGATACAAGAAGGTGGTACAGGAAGTGTCAGCCTCATCAAATGGCATTGAAGGTATTGTATGTTTGTTATGAAGACTATAGACAGTTGTCTCAAGTCTATATATATAAAAAAGTGTAGACATTTGCAATGCATACTACATTCTTTTTGATTCAGGGAGGTCTGTTTTGTCAGTTTTGTCAGACCACAGAAACAGTTCGTCCCATGGCAGTAGCAGTAAGAAATGGGAGGTGATTGACCTGACGCTGGACAGCTCCTCTGATGATGATTATGATGATAACGATGAGCCTCCTCTTAAAAGAGCCTGTCCATCTCTATCACCAACCTCCCCGCCTGTCAACAAAGGGTGAGAATTTATATTTATTTTGAACAATGTTTATTGTTTTAACATTTAAAACCCAACATTTTTGTGAAATGTTTTAAAACCTTTTTTGAAAAGTGTATTTGTGAGTGATTATAAATGCCACATTGATTCATATTTTGTCATGTAATGCAAAGATATTCACATTTTTAAATGTGATTTTTAATGTTTTGATAATTATTGGAGCCAATATTTGTGTTTCTTAAAATATTATTTTAATATCTCACTAGTTTTTTTTTTTTATATATATATATAATTTTGTTATATTTTGCTGCAGAGTGTTAAATCTGCATCATCAGGCTTCTCCATTGGCACGGGCTCCCAGCATGCCAGCAATGGAGACAAACTATATCCCTCCCCCTCCTCTCATTCAAGACTACCATCACTATTACCACACACCCAATGACCTCTCAGGTACCGTCATCATTCCACTAAAATATAATTTCCTCATATTTAATAAAGAATGCTCCTACTAGCTCATGCTCACTTGCCTTGGTTGTCACTACCATTCAAAAGTTTGGGGTCTGTAACATTTTGAAAGAATTAAAAATTTATTTTATGCTTCCAAGGCTGTTTTTTTAATAAATCACAAATACAGTAAAACAGTATTGTTGTGAAAAAAGTTACTATTTTAATATATTTTAAGATGGAATATATTTCTGTGATGACAAAAATGTGCTCAAGAAACATTTTTTTATTATTATCAATGTTGAAAACAGTCATGCTGCTTAATATTTTTGTGAAACCCATAATACATCATTTTTTTCAGGATTCTTTGAATAGGAAGTTCAGAAGAACAGCATGTATTTGAAATAGAAATCTTTTGTAATATTACAAAAGGCTTTACATCCACTTTTGATCAATGTAGTTTAGATGAGTTTCCTTTGCATAATTTAACACATAATTTGGTAATGTAATCTTTATATATTAAATCTGGGATTTCTTTTTATTTAATCCAATAAGTAAAAATGTAGGATTTTAAAAATATAAAAATTTAACAAATTTATGCCAAACAACTTTTTTTCTTGTTCGACAGATCTGAATTTCTTCTCATTTTTACAAGGGGACAATCACCAGGTAGGTTCACGCAGCACATCACTGCTAGAGGGCAGCATTGTGCTCGAACAAACGCCTATGTTTAACCACATCTGGTGCCGAATTAAATGGATTGGATACACTAGGGCCCAGATCTGACTGAGAGAGAATTAACATATACCCCCGGTTTCACAGACAAGGCTTAAGCCTAGTCCTAGACTAAAATGTAAGTCTTAGCTGTTTCAACTGAAAGAAACTTGCACTGATTGATCTTAAAATATTTTTGTTTTGTCTCAAGATGCACTCCAGTAATGTTTTTTTCTAAGCATGTTTATAAAAATTACCTAATGGAACTATGTCCTAATTGAACTATGGCCTAAACCTGGCTTAATCTAAGCCCTGTCTGTGAAACTGGGCCATGCATTTTTTTTCTTAAACATCAGCATAGCCTTAAGTTGTTGATCTTTATCCTCTCCACAGCATTATAACATGGTCATGGCCGCTGCAGCTGCCGCCTCAGCTTCTGCGTCAGAAGACCACGAGCTGCTGTTGAACCGCTTCATGCCCTATGGTTCCTCTCAGCTCTTCCTGGAGCAGTCGGGGACGCCGGCGAGCAGCTCGCTAGTGCCAGCCAACGGCAGCGGAGGCAGCAGCAGCGGAAGCAGCAGCAGTCTGGTGTCCTCCAGCAGTCTGAGAGACAGCCACCCACACAGTAACGTGTCCCACTCGCGCTCAGATGACACCACCACATCCGTAATATACGGCTCTATCCCTGATGTAATTTCACTGGACTGACCACACCGGGGCGCCCTGCAAACAGACAAGCCTTTATCACAAACAACAGGAGGGCGCAGAAGGAGCTTTGTGCACTTGTGATAGGATTTAGATGTGAATTGGATGGAAGGTGGGGAGAAAAAAAAAGAGAACAAAGACTTTTGTAAAGAGAAGAATAAAATTGCTGTGTACAGAGAAGAAAAATCTATTTTCAGTTTTACTTTTGTATATAAACAATAGGACGCTGCCTACCCCAGTGAGTGACTTCAGTTGGTATTTTCTCCATGGATACTGAAGATGTTTTTCACTGCTCTGTGTGTTGTTCCTTGATTTATCTTATTCTGTACCTTTTATACTTTTTGCTATTTTATTTCACTTCAAATAATAATTTCAGTCAAAGTAATAGAATGGCAGTCATCTTTATCATCAGCCATTGTTTGATCAGCGAGGGAAAATCACGTTATTTAATGCTATTATCCTGTGCAGGTAATTTATTGCTTTTAAGTTATGTAGGATGTATGCTGTACAGAAGCATTCCCTTATGCCAATACAGAATCTAGCCACGACATGCTTGAAAAGTCGACAGAGGTCACATCTTATTCCAGTTGCGCATTCTTTCTCTTCCATCACCACATTAAGTATGTAAAAAGCGGAGTTTGGTTTCAGTGGCCAGTTTTGCTGGTTAGTTCCTGAGGTTAAACTCTTGTGTACACTTTCATGATCTCATATTCTTTGATGTTGTTTGTCTGAACTAAACCTCAAAAGATGAGGTGTGGTTCGCAAAAACAGCGCTGAGGGTATCAGACACTATAGCATACCTCATTTAGTTTGCTGCAGATATGACAGAAAAATAACCAGAGTGAGTAGCAGTAGCCGTAGTGCAGACAATAATTATTTCCTCAAGACAGGAATCTTACACAAGTGTAATATCCCACGCCAGCAGACCTTCAGATCCAAATTTGGTCCCAAGATTCCAGCTATTGAATGCTAATTGACAGCTTTGTTTAAAAATGGCTAAACATATCAGACACTATAGCATACCTCATTTAGTTTGCTGCAGATATGACAGAAAAATAACCAGAGTGATGTTGCAGTAGCCGTAGTGCAGACAATAATTATTTCCTCAAGACAGGAATCTTACACAAGTGTAATATCCCACGCCAGCAGACCTTCAGATCCAAATTTGGTCCCAAGATTCCAGCTATTGAATGCTAATTGACAGCTTTGTTTAAAAATGGCTAAACGCACTTGCCACTTCCTTCAGTGAATGGCGTTATTCCATTTTAAATGTCGAGAACGCCATGTATGAAATGTCATTTTCTCGAGGTCTGTGTGGTTTGGGCTTCAGGTGGGCTACAATTGAGATTTAGCTTTATAGATTTTCAAAGTGTGCTTGGAGGGTGACCTTATTGCAACATAATCTGTGCTGTCTGTTTTCGTCTGTTTAAAATTGAATTTATTTATTTTATCTATATATTATATTTTTACTATGTTTGATCATGCGTTACTTTCATGCATTTTGTAATTATTTCAAGAGCTCTTAACACTTGCTTTGCATTGTACAAGTAGCTAATTACGTGTCCTTGTCTCTCTTTCTCTCATATTTGTACTATATGAGACATCTGAGGCATTAATTCCACAATCATACTTGCTGTGTCACATTCAACTTTGGTTGAAATGAAACCGTTTAAAGGATAAAAGCCAGCTGTGTGTGCACATCCTCTGGCTTTATTGTTTTTGATTTGTCATTGATTCTTGTGCATTAAAAAAAGGGTTGTGGAACAGCTAATGTTGGGCCTGGATGAATGTTAGCACACTTTTAATCTCTTGATGTCAGCCAGTACACAAAAGAGTCCACAAACCTTTCTACAAGAGTGATTTTTGTCTTCAGTGTTGCAAATTAACAATTGGATTGATGAACCCATGCTTGTTTAATTTATATATTTTACCTTTGCACTGAGTTACATGATAGCACACAAAATTGAGACCGCCGGCATTCTGCACAAATATCCCATTTGACTTTGCACTGAAATCATACATTTCATGTGCCCACTGATCTGCTACGTCCTTGAAATATACCACTAGACAGTCAGTCTGTTAAAGCTGTACCAGTAACTGGCAAGTATGAACTCTCTGCCTTAAGTTCTTCTTTTACTGTATGGTACGCTATGAGAGAAACCATTATGTACAGGAAACCAATACCAGTTTGTACAAAATATTATATGAATTATTTATTATTTGAATTGGGATACATTGTTTACTTAATGAATGTTACTTGTTTATGTAGAGAGCGGTTTAGCTGTAATAAAACAAATACATTAAATCTTTTCTATTTCTGTCTTATCTGTATTTTGGTATTTTTTTACCTCTGGGTGCAGAAAGGGGGGGTTATAATATAAGTTATATTATAACTTATATAATGTGTTATAATATAAGGCTGTACTGTTAGCAAGATGTTAGCCCTAAACTGCTGGATGATACAAGTTTGTTAAATTGGGTAGGAGTGGGTAATGTGAGCCAACATTCCTGGAGTAAGTTGAGCCAATTGCTCACCTCTTCTTATGATTATTCTACTGCAATTCTACATGGTTTCATTAATTTTAGACCAAATGTTTTTGATTTTGTCCTTTGTTTTGTACTTGATTTTGTTCTGAAATTTTTAAAAGGCCTTGTTTATGAAAACTGGCCATTGAAGTTTTTATGAAGTTGTATTTCCCTGGAACATTTATAATGTTGAGTTCTGTAAGATCAATTGCAGTCCATTTTTTTTATTTATTTATTATTTAAAATTAATGCATTCATTAATTTGAACTTTTTGTTCTTACATTTTTTTAAGTGATTTTAAAAATGCCTTCAAAGATGTGAACTGTATCTTTAAATAAAACTTTTATGAAGTCATCCATTCTATTATCCAAACCTCTTTGTCCTTATTAGGGTCGTGGCCCGGGGAGCTGGAGCCTAACCCCACAGGTGGGGAAACTCTGCATGGCCAGTTCATCACAAGGTTTACACACAGATTCTAGAATTAATTTTTATTAAATTGCTCTTCCTTTGATATAGCATGAGGTGAAAATGTTCAGCATAATCAATGGCACAGTTTAACTCCATGTGGCTCAACTTACCCTCTCCCTATGCTCAATTTTTCCCCAAGAGACCACTTTTTCTTTGGAAAGCCATATTTTGAAAATAGTTTATTTTAGATCCAGAGTGATTATTCCCAAAGATGCACCACATCCTGAAATGTATATACATATCATTTGGACCCATTACTGTCATGTGCTTGCTAAAAACTAGTTCAACTCACCCCACTCTCCCCTATATTAAAATTTTGATCAAATAAATGCAGGCTTGATGACCATAAGTGACTTCTTGCTAAAACTTAAAATAGTAATGTATCCAAACTTTTGACCTATTAAAACCCATTTTTTCTCCTTGGCCTTTGACACCTGATGTTGACATTTTGTTTATTTTATTGTGATGTTTTATGACTCTTAAATTGTTTTATTTGTATTTTATGCCTTGTATGACTTATGTATTTTATGTTTATTTATTTTTCTGTACATAGCATTTTGGTCCAATTCGGTTGTTTTAAAGTGCTTTATAAATATATATAATTTTTTTTACATTGCCTCTATTTTACATTTGAGTCCCTGCCCCTGAGGAACTTTCTGGACGTCCCTGTTCCCAAGGGTTTAAACCCCCACAATTCCCACCAGCTGTCAGACATGTAAAAACTCTTCAGCCAAGCTTTGCCCTGCAAGGGCAGGTACTACCAAGGCGCGTGTACCTCTGTATATATTAGCAGATGCGCACGACTGGTGGGCAAACCCCTGAGAAAACCTCTTCAACACAACCTGAGCGCACCGCGCGCGCAGATCGCAGGTGGAACGCGCTATTGGATGCTTAACCATGGGTGACCCTTTCAACAGCAGCAGCAGGGTGTTTACCGAACACCTCAGGGTCATGTCACATTTGGAAATCTGGGGGACATTGATGTGACCGCGGACAGCGGTGTACATTTTTGTGTGCGCAATAGGCTTTGCTGGGAATTCGCTCGTACTTCTCATCATGAGAGTGAAACACTCCAAGCAGACCACCGCCATTAATGTTTTCATCATTAACTTAGCTGTCACAGACCTCCAGTTTGTCCTGACATCGCCGTTTTGGGCGGTGGATACCGCTTCTGGATTTCAGTTGGCCGTTTGGAGACGCCATGTGCAAGATCATACTGTCGGTCACTGTGATGAACATGAACGCTAGCGTCTTCTTCCTCACTGCTACGAGCATCACTAGATACTGCTCCATGGCTTCAGCCACCAAGAACAGGGTCCGGGCCCCAACATCATGCTCTGTTAAATGGGTTTGCGCATGTTTGTGGGTCGTTGCTACCGTGGCCACCGCGCCAACGTCTAGTTATTTACTCCACTGTGACCAACGGGGCTGGAGAGAAGCTCTCCTTACTCAAGTTTCCTGCCGGACATTACTGGCTGGCCTTTTATCACTTACAAAAAATCCTGGTTGCTTTTGTTCTGCCCATGTTGATCCTTTCCGTGTCCTATTAGTTGCTTCTGAGATTTGCGAGAAAGCGAAATCTGAATAACGTTCATTCAAAGCGGACGATTCATGTCTACCACAGTTCATGTATACCACACCAAATCTATCACAGTTGTGGTTCTTTCATTCTTTCTTTGCTGGATGCCGAACCACGCAATTACATTTTGGGGTGTTTCGGTCAAGTTGAACGTGATTCACTGGATGAAGCGTATTGTATTGTCCATACTTCTGTATTTCCCGTGACTGTTTGCTTAGCTCATACTAATAGTTGCTTAAATCCGTTTATATATTGTCTTACGAGAAGGGCATTGAGAAAGAAACTGAAAAATTGTTTGTCAAATATTGCCCCTTGGTTATTAAACGGGTCCTTTCAGAAATCGAGGCATGCGTGAGCCGCGAAATTCATATGCAAAATATGTATTCTGTAAAAAAAAATATTTAGTGGGTTTTGCCATTTCAACTCATAACTATTTTTGAAAAATGGTCCAGACAACAAGAAAATGTAAGTTTATTGGCCCTCAACTAAGCTGAAAGTTGAATGAACTAGATCACTGTTGCTTCAGATCAAAAACGCATGTTGAAACAACTGCATCACACCGAAAAAAAATGAAGATAACAAAAAATTGTAAGGCAGCTGGATAACAGTTTTTTAAAGTTGACTCAACAATTTGTATTTTTATTTTTACTGTGTATATGTAGAATATTTATATTTTTAATTAGCTCTCTTTTTGACACATTTTATTATAAAATGATGCATTATTAATTATTATTATTTTAGTTCAGGAATTATTAGCATCGGTAATTATTCTTAAATGGAATTTATTGACTGATATTAAAGAATCAATTAATGATAAAGCTGAAAATTATGGGTCTTATATGGGTCAGGGTCTTTCATTTAAATAATGTCATCTTTTTTTTACAAATGAAAAATGATAAAAAAATAAATGTATGTATGTTTGAAAGTGACTATTAAAACAACAGCAGTCTGTCTTTTCAAATACTAAAATACTGTAAAACATACATATCCCCAGTTGTGAAAAAGGTTGACATAATATGAATAAATCGTTATTGATGTTGTACACTTCGGACGATAATTTCACATAACAGTGGGAGAACTCCACATCAGCTGACAGAAAGGCAATATCATGGACAGCACATGGATTCCTTGTGAACCCCAAAACCCATGAAAGACATCTGTGTCAGTACCTGGACAAGAGTTTCCTAAAAAAGGGCAGAACAAATCATTTTAAAGCGGATGACTGAAAGAAAAAAAATGTTGATTGCAACTTTTCAGTTGTAAGAATACTGAACATTTAAAAGGCATTATGAGCCAGCTGGCCCCAAAATAGATAATAATTCTAAAACTGTACAATACTATTTTGTTGCTATCAGATAAAATGGATCTGATTTATGATAGTTATGGAGCAGAGTTTTATGAACTAAATTGAAAGAGATATTTTGATGATGGTTCATGTAATTTAAACTGTTCATTTAAAATAATATTTGAAGAATCGAAATTTATAGCATCACACAGACACTCTATAATACTCACGGCCATTTTTCCCACAACTTAAAAAAAAAAATAATAATAATTATTATATATATATATATATATATAATCAGGCAAATATACAATAAGAATAATTTATCACAACTGTGAACATTTATATTTTATATTGCACATGTAAGACTATAATTATGTGGCTCAGCACACAAATAGCTGCCCGAAAAATATGAATAGATACTGCTTTAAATGTAATACTGCCCTAAATGCTTTTCCGTGAGCAGTGCACAAACTGTGTGACGCTCCAACAGAGGCTGCTGTTTAAATGTTGTACATTATGGAAGTCAGCTGACATGGGCGCCAAAAAAGTGCGTCATAGACACGCAGCGCGGCGCCTTCACCCTGTGTGAATTAAATCGGAGCTGGCAATGCCTGGATTTGATTTTCCAGCTATTTTTATTGTTTAATCTGTGAATGGCGCCTAAACAGGACCCTAAGCCTAAATTTCAAGAAGGTAAGAGACCCTATGGGAAAGCTGTGTCTCCTCTAACGGAGTCCTCAGTTGTTCGGCGTATCCTCTCATTCAGCCGCGCAAAGGAAGCGGGCGCTGCCACCGCACAATGGCGCGTGTACACAGCAAGATGTGTATTGAAAAGCAGTTTTAGCCGAGCAATGCTAATTGCCTTTTTGTTTATCAGCAGCCAAGCGCATGCACGACTGCACGTTAGTGCTTTCTGTTTTATGTAACAGTCTTGTGTATGTACTCGGCTGCTTGTTTCTGAAAACATTAGCTGTTGTCTATGTAGCCCATTAGCTTATAGCAGGGCTTGTTTACAGGAAGCTCCCATTATAACATTGAAGTCCTGGCGGGAATGGTTATATATTGCCATTCATAACATAATGCTAGGAATGTTAACTCGGAGCTGTTTTACAATGATTTACGTTGCTAAAGACATGATAGAGGTTGATGCAACTCATTTAACAACCACTAGCGAGGTCCGACAACTGAACGAAGCGTTCGTTAGAATCGAATCTTTTTGAACATGGTACAAAAGCCGTCTAAATGAGTAGTTCATGAATAAATGGTTCAATTCAACAACTTGGTGATTTAATAGGGATGGGCGATACCCCTTATTTTGTTTTCGATACGATACCGATATTTTTCAAGGCAGTATCGTCGATATCGATACCGGTTCGATACTTCTGCACTAAACTTTTAAATTATGAAATGTATTAAATTGCTAAGAGTAAAATGGGTAATGAAAACCACTTAACTTGGTTTAAAACGCATTTTAAATTTCGATACTCGCGTCAGTATCGATATATCGATACTTCGGATCGATACGCCCATCCCTAGTGATTAAATGAAAAAAAAGGATTGTCTTTCGAACGTAACTGATTTGTAATGAGCAGATAATAAGAGCATTCGTAACTTTTTGGTTAAAAATTATTCCAAAACAATTATTGAGCAAATACATAACCAATCAGTGTTCAAAACTAACTCCTTACT